GACCCCCAAAATTGGGGAGGGGGGCTGGAATGAGACCCCCCCCCCAAAAAACAAAGGAAAGAAGGAGGAAAAGGAGGAGGAACCCGCCTGAAAGAAAATCCTCCAAAATTAAAGAAAATCCTTTAAAATGACAGAAAATCCTCCGAAATTATAAAGAATTCTCCAAAATGACAGAAAATCCTCCAAAATCCACAGGAGGTGCCCCCAAATTAAACCTGAACACCCCCAAAATGAGGGAAGGGGGTCCCAAAAATGAGCCCCAGACCGAAAGAGAAGAGGGGGAGCCCCCAAAATGGGGGGGTTGGGATGAATTTGGGCGCCCCCTCCCCAAATCCTGGGGTGTGCCCCAAAACCCCCCCAAAATCCCCCAAAATTCCCCACACATACCCAGGGCGGTCCCAGCACCCCCGAGGCCTCGCAAAACCCCCAAATTCTCCCAAAATCCCCCAAACCCCCCAAATTCCCCCAAATCCTCTCCCAGGTGCACCAAACCCCCCAAATTCCCCTAAACCCCCCAAATTCCCCGGCCCACTTTGGCCTCCTCGTCCTGCGCGGCCGCCGGGCGCCCGAAACTCAGAGCGGCGTGGGCGGGGTCCTGTCCGGGGACCCCGAAACGGCCCGAAATGAGCCCAAAACGGCCCGAAATGAGCCCGAAACGGCCCGAAATGAGCCCAAAATAGCCCGAAATGAGCACAAAATGAGCCCAAAACAGCCCGAAATGAGCCCAAAACAGCCCAAAATAGCCCAAAACAGCCCAAAACCTCCCGGCGGCTCCGGGACGGGACCGGAACCGAACCCGGGACCGGCTCCGGGCGCGGCGGCGCCGTCGCTGCAGGCGGGGGCGGGGCTATTAACCTGGTAATTAACGGGGGCGGGGCCATTAACCAGGTAATTAACGGGGGCGGGGCTATTAACCTGGTAATTAACGGGGGCGTGGTCATTAACCAGGTAATTAACGGGGGCGGGGCCATTAACCAGGTAATTAACGGGGGCGTGGCCATTAACCAGGTAATTAACGGGGGCGGGGCCATTAACCAGCTAATTAACGGGGGCGGGGCCATTAACCAGGTAATTAACGGGGGCGTGGCCATTAACGAGGTAATTAACGGGGGCGGGGCCATTAACCAGGTAATTAACGGGGCGGGGCCATTAACCAGGTAATTAACGGGGCGGGGCCTAACCGGGTGTGTCCGACCGGGGCGCTCCCCCCGCCGACCGGGAAAGGGGCGTGGGCGTGTCCGGTGGGCGGGGCTGTGTCCCGGTGGGCGTGTCCCGTCCCGGTGGGCGTGTCCCGTGTCCCGGTGGGCGTGTCCCGGTGGGCGGGGCCTGTCCCGGTGGGCGTGTCCCGTAGCCGGTGGGCGTGTCCGGTGTCCCGGTGGGCGTGTCCCGTCCCGGTGGGTCCGACCGGGGCGCTCCCCCCGCCGACCGGGAA